GGGGGGGGGGGGGGGGGGGGGGGGGGGGGTGGGGTGGGGGGGGGGTGGGGGTGGGGGGGGGGGGGGGGGGGGGGGGGGGGGGGGGGGGGGGGGGGGGGGGGGGGTGGGGCGGGGGGCGGCGGTGGGGGGGGGGGTGGGGGGGGTGGGGGGGGGAGGGGGGGGGGGGGGGTGGGGAGGGGGGGGGGGGGGGGGGGCGGGGGGGGGGGAGGGGGGGGGGGGGGGGGGGGTGGGTTAGTGGGGGGGGGGGGGGAGAGGCGGGGGGTGGTTCTTACGTTTGCGACAAAGGATCGAGGCGGTGGAAATTCGTCTGCGCGAAGAGAAAGGAAAAACGTGTGAAACACTCGTGTTGCTACAGCGGACAAGTACAACCCTGGGAGGGGGTCGCCGCGTGGTTTCGCTGGGGGTTGGGTGCGCGGGGCGGGGGCGGGCGGTGGGGGGGGGGGGGGTGGGGGCGGGGTGGGGCGGGTAGGGGGGGTGTGGGTGTGTGCGTTGGGGGCTAGACCGGGTGGGGGGTAGGTCGGGGGGGGGGGGGAGGGGGGGGGGATAGGGGGGGGAGGGTGCGGGGGGGAGGGGGGGGGGGAGGGGGGGGAGGGGGCGGGGGGGGGAGCGGTGGGGGGGGGGGTGGGGGGGGGGGGGGGGGGGGGGGGGGGGGGGGGTGGGGGAGGGGGGGGAGGGGGATGGGGGGGTGGGGGGGGGGGGGTGGGGGGGGGGGGGGGGGGGGGGCGGGGGGGGGGGGGGGGGGGGGGGGTGGGGGGGGGGGGGAGGGGGGGGGTGGGGGGGGTGGGAGGGGGGGGGGGGGGCGGGGGGGGGGGGGGTGGGGGGGGGGGGAGGGGGGGGTGGGAGGGGGGGGGGGGGGGGGGGGAGGGTGGGGGGGGGGGGGGGGGGGGGGGGGGAGGGGGGGAGGGGGGGGGGGGGAGGGGGGGGGGGGGGGGGGGGGGGGTGGGGAGGGGGGGGGGGCGGGGGGGGGGGGGGGGGGGGGGGGAGGGGGGGGGAGTTGGGGGGGGGGGGGGTGGGGGTGGGGGGGGGGGGGGTTGGGGGGGGGGGTGGGGGGGGGGGGGGGGGGGGGAGGGGTGTGTTTGGGGGTGGGGGGGTGGGGGGGGGGGGGGGGGGGGGGGGGGGGGGGGGGGGGGGGGGGGGGGGGGGGGTAGGGGGGGGTGGGGGGGGGGGGGGGGGGGGGTGGGGGGGGGTGGGGGGGGGGGGAGGGGTGGTTCTGGGGGTGTGGGGGTGGGGGCGGGGGGGGATGGGGGGGGTTAGGCGGAGGTGGGGGGGGGGTAGTAAGTGATTATGGGTTCGGGAGGGCAGGGGTTCGGAGGGTGGCGGCCAGGGAATGCGGGGGGAGGGGGAGGGGGGGGTTTATGGGAGTAGGGGAGGGGGCGCGGAGGGGGGGGGCGGGGGAGGGGGGGGAGGGGAGTGGGCCAACGGTGGGCGGGGGGGGGTTGGGGGGGAAAGGGGGGGGGGTGGGGAGTGGGGGGGGGGGGGAGGGGGGGGGTCGGGTGGGGTGTTTGTTACCCGGGGGGGGGGGCGGGAGCTGTGGTTTGGGGAGGTTCCGGGGGTGTGTACTGGTGGGGGGCCGGGTTTGGGGGGGGGGGGGGTGGTGGTTGCGGGGGGTGGGGGGGTCGGGTGGGGGTGAGGGGGGCAGGGGGTCTGGGGGGGGGGGGGGCATAGTGGGATGGGGGGTGGGGGGGGGGGGGGGTTGGGTGTGGTTATTGTGGCGGAGGGTAAAGGTGAGTGGTGTGGAGGTGGGTGTGGGCCGCGCCGGGTTGGTGGGGGGGGGTGGGGTGGGGTCGGGGGGCGGGAGTTTGGGGGGGGGGTGGTGGGTGTGGGAGTGAGGTGGGGGGGTTTGGGGGGGGGGCGGGGCGGGGGTGGCGAGGGGGTGGGCGGGGGGGTCGGTGGGGGGCGTGTGGATGCGGGAGCCGGTGAAGAGGGGCTGCGGGGGTCTACGTGCGACCAATAGGAGAGTAGAGCTGTGGAAACATCGTCTGCGCGAAGAAAACGTGTGAACTCGTTAGCTACTTCGACACAGTACAAGGTAGGGGGGGGGGGGGGGGGGGGGGGGGGGGGGGGGGGGGGGGGGGGGGGGGGGGGGGGGGGGGGGGGGGGTGGGGGGGGGTGGGGGGGGGGGGGGGGGGGGGGGGGGGGGGGGGGGGGGGGGGGGGGGGGGGGGGGGGGGGGGGGGGGGGGGTGGGGGGGGGGGGGGGGGGGGGGGGGGGGGGGGGGGGGGGGGGGGGGGGGGGGGGGGGGGGGTGGGGGGGGGGGGGGGGGGGGGGGGGGTGGGGGGGGGGGGGGGGGGGTTGGGGGGGGGGGGGTGGGGGGGGGGGTGGGGGGGGGGGGGGGGGGGGGGGGGGGGGGGGTGGTGGGGGGGGTGGTGGGGGGGGGGGGGGGGGGGGGGGGTGGGGGGGGGGGGGGGGGGGGGGTGGGGGGGGGGGGGGGTGGGGGGGGGGGGGGGGGGGGGGTGGGGGGGGGGGGGGCTGGGGGGGGGGGGGGGGGGGTGGGGGGGGGGGGGGGGGGGGGGGGGGGGGGGGTGGGGGGGGGGGGGGGGGGGGGGGCGGGGGGGGGGGGGGGGGGGGGGGGGGGGTGGGGGGGGGGGGGGGGGGGGGGGGGGGGGGGGGGGGGGGGGGGGGGGGGGGGGGGGGGGGGGGGGGGGGGGGGGGGGGGGGGGGGGGGGGGGGGGGGGGGGGGGGGGGGGGGGGGGGGGGGGGGTGGGGGGGGGGGGGGGGGGGGGGGGGGGGGGGGGGGGGGGGGGGGGGGGGGGGGGGGGGGGGGGGGGGGGGGGGGGGGGGGGGGGGGGGTGGGGGGGGGGGGGTGGGGGGGGGGGGGGGTGGGGGGGGGGGGGGGGGGGGGGGGGGGGGGGGGGGGGGGGGGGGGGGGGGGGTGGGGGGGGGGGGGTGGTTGGGGGGGGGGGGGGGGGGGGGCGGTTGTCTAAGGTGGGTTGTGGCGGAGGGGTGTATGTGGCGTGGGGGGTGTGGTACGGGGGGGGCCGCCGGCGTGAGGGTGGTAGGGGGGGCTGCAGTAAAGGGGGGGGCGGGTTGTGGGGTGGGGGTGGGGGGGGGTGGGAGAGCTGGGGGTGGGGGGGGGGCGGGGCCGGGGGTGCAGGGTGGTGTGGGGGCGGCGGGGGGGGGTGCTTCCGGGGGGTAGGGGGGGCGGATGCGGGGGCTGGGTTGGGGTGGGGTGGGGGGGGGTCGGTTCTAGTGGGGGGTGGGGGGTCGGCGGGGGGGGGGGGGCAGGATGGGGGGGAGGGGGGGTGGGGGGAGCGGGGCGGGGGGGGTGGTGGGGAGAGGGTTGGGGGGGCGGTACGAGCGGGGGGGGGCGGTGCTCCCACCTTGGGTGGGGGGCGGTGGGCGCGGGGAGGGGAGGGTAGGAGGGGGTCGCGGTGGGCGGGGGGGCGTGGGGGGTCGGGGGCGGCAAGGCCTGGCTCGGGGAGGGGCGGGGGGCGGGGGGTGGGTGGGGGTGGCGGGGGGGGTGTGTGGTGGAGGGGGGTAGGGGGGGGGGGGGATGGAGGGGAGTGGGGGTTTGCAGGGTCCTACGTGCGACAAAGGAAGAGGCTGTGGAACATCGTCTGCGCGAATGCAAACGTGTGAACACGTAGCTACATCGACAAGTACAACGGTGGCCGCTGCGATCGATAAGCCGGTGGACTTGGCTCACGCATCTGGTGAGCTGATTGATTGTAGTAACCTTGGTAGTCAAAAAAGTAGTAGACGGGACGTGTGCTCCCAGCTCTACGGGAAACCGCAGCATTCAGATGTAAACTAGCTGCACCGGTGTTGCTTCGAAAGGTACTAACGCTGTACTTTAAGCCTAGGATGACGCGAGAAAGTTTATCAGACCATACACGATTTGAGTACGCTCACAGGGTGGCATACGATTGACAGTGAAAACGCTACACCGTGCCGTTAGCCACTAGAAGCTACGCCGTAGTCTGAAAGTGGCAACAGCTCAAATCACTAATCAACGCGGCAAAAGTCGACGAGAAATGTGACCCTCGATCACTGATCACGATGGCGGGACAGCCGTATTGGGCTACCCAGCACTCCAGAAAAACTTTCGCTGCAGTTTCCGAAGAGCTGTTAGGTATGGGAATAACTTCTAGCTAACTAGTGAAGCGAGCGACATATGTCATTAGATGCACAGAGTCTTTCGAAGGCAGCAGAGAACCTATGAGGTCGACGTGCACGTGGTAAAAACGTGCATCTGGCGTGGGAACTCTTCCTACTGGGCTTTTCGTGTGCTTATGCACTCGCGCGTTGACACAGAAGACAAGCAGATGCCCAAGTACGAACGTGGCGATTGACATTGCGCCCGACGAAACGTGTGGTTACGAGTTAACCCGATGCACGAACGCCTGGATTAGTCAAGCCGTGCACCGTGTCGAACACCGTCTTCCGAACATCGCTGGAGACGACCGGGCGCGGCGTGCCCAGAGACAAACTACAAAGCATACTTTCGTCTGATGATGTCAGTGATACGAGCCGCATGTCCAGTGAAGCAGATCTGCGTATTTTCTCAACCTCTGGATCATTGAGTTGCGTTGCGGCCTTGACTGTTAAGTCGAAAGCGGTGCCGGAGTCCACAACAACGCTTGGATTCGTGGAAGTGCGTCGGCAACAGTGTTGTGCACATCGGAGGCACGTCGTAAATCTGTCGTAAACTGAACGATATAGTCTAGGTAGCGCGACTCTACAGGAGAGTACCGGTCGGTAGTCGAGTTAAGCACGTAAATCAGGTGCTTGTGTTCGGTAAAGACGGCAAAGGAGCGGCTTACTAAGACGTGCCGGAAATGACATATGGATAAAGAACTGACTTAAAGTGCTCTATCGAAAATACTGTAACCAGATTCGGCGGGTTGCAATGGTTTGGAGAAAAGTAACAATGGCTGCCAAGCGTCCCAATTTTCACTTCAGAAGCGTCGGTACTGAGCCGCATTCGGGCTGCCAGGTCGTGCTGCGCTATAAAAGCTATGTTGGCGATAACTTCTTCCAAAGCTTGGAAGGTGGCGCGCGCTGCAGTAACAAAATCGAACTTCTTAAGTTTACCCCAGAGAAGACCCTTGAGAGGTTGCATAAGCGAAGCCCAACTAGGTACGAAGCGGCGATAAAAGTGCACGAGGCCATCAAAGCGTCTTATATGGTTGGTAGATTGAGGTTCGGGGTAGTCGTTAATGGCCTAAAATATATCCTTCCGTAGCAGGACTCCTGCAGGAGAGATATGGTGGCGGCGTAAACTAACCAAATCAGCACAAAGCGAACATTTTTCTGCGTTGATCGTTTTCCCGGCTTGAGGTAAAGGATGAAAAAGCGTTCGAAGGTGGCGTAAGTGCTCCTCGCGTGAGGAGCTCGCAATTAAGATATCGCCGAGGTAAACGTAAGCAAAGTCTAGGCCGCAACAAACTTGGTCGACGAAGCGCTGATGAGTTTGCGCAGCATTCTTTAGACCAAATGGCATACGCAGAAGCGCGAATAAACCGAATGAAGTTGTCACGGCAGTTTTAGCGATGTCCGCTACGGCTACCGCAAGTTGGTTGTAAGTGCGCACCAAGAAGAGTTTCCTGAAAACATTTTTACCTGTCAGACTATCATTGAGGTCCACAATATGTGGAATAGGAGAGCGAGCAGGAGTGGTTACTTTGTAGAGTGATCGATAATCGCCATAAGGACGCCAGTCCCCATAGTCTTCTTCTAAACCATCTGGCGAGGCGACACCCATGGACGGTTGGATGGTTCCATGATGCCGAGCTGAAGCTTGTGACCGAATTCATCTCCTGCGGCACATAATCTGTCGTAGGCGTGTCGTCTTTGTCGGACACTCGTTGGCGGACTGCGCAACGACGATGTAAAGAGTGACCTCTGTCGTGTCTGGCGGAAGCTCTGCAGTTGATCAGATCGATCGCTGGTATTCAGACAGTAGGTGGGCATAATCTGAACGTACATCGGCGATTCGGAACAAGTGACTGATTATCGGGGCGTCCGTAAGAACGTCTTTAACCCCTAGTTTAGTGCGGTCGTCTAAAAGTCGATGGCGACTAGAATCAACAAGCAAGACGAAATGTCGGAGGAAGTCGATACGGATAATTGCGAAGGGTATAGACGCAACCTTGGCCCACTGAACATTTTGGCCGAAAGTGAGGTCCAGGTTCATCATGTGCTGACCGAATGAAGCTATCAGAGAACCGTTGGCCGCACGCAGGTTGTATGTAAGCGTTGAGTGCTTGTCGTTTGCGTTCGCAGGAATGAGGCTGACAACCAATCTCATGTCGATGAGGAACGTGATGGAAGAACGTCAATCCAATGTTAAGCAGGCGAGTTGTTCATCATCATATACATCATACGACACGTTAGCTGGAGGTGGGGAACACCTCAGCTACTGTGCCGCAATACATAGAAAAAAAGGAGAGAAAAAAAGCAACTAGTGCAAGCTGGCTGAGCTACCGGTAACGGATGGGCATCGTTCCGGTAAGCTACCAGCCGGCTGCTGTGCGCCAAAAAAATTACTATGCAAAATTATATAAGGCTAAATAATGAGATCGTGGTTGGAGGGGGAGGCTAAGAGGGATGGGGTGGGACAAAGAAACTCACAGCACGAAAGCCACTGAGGTCGGCTCCTAGCCATATCAGCAAGTGTGTCCAACCAAACGTGTTCATCCTCTTTCGGACCCCAAACAGGGAGCCGAGACGCTCCAACTGAGGCCAGCTCCGAAGTGAGGGCCTTCATTCCTCTGGACCAAGTCATCGCTTGGCCACCCCTCCTCTTCTTCCATCCACACCCCCGGCGCGCAAACAACACACGTCGCGGGAGTCGGTGGGCTGGCATGCGTAACATGTGGCCGAGCCATCGGAGCCTGATGCGTGAAATGACGGTGCTGAGCGGTTCAGTTCCTTTTCCTGTGCCGTAAACGAGGCGTCGAACACGCTCGTTGCTTACGCGGTGTTCCCACCAGATGTGAGCTAAATTACGAAGGCACCGGTGGTCGAACGTAACTAGCCTCTTCAGGTCCGCTGCTTTAAGCGGCCAGGTTTCACAACCGTACAGTAGGATCGAACGTACCGCTGCATTGTACACTCTACCCTTCAGGGCAAGAGTGATGTCGCGCCGGCGCCATAAGTGGCGAAGGTTAGCAAAAGCGCCTCGGGCTTTTGCTATACGGTTCGTGATCTCATCTTCAATCCCACTGGCGCTGATACAACTTCCCAGGTAGTTGAATTTTTGAACGACTTCTAGCTGATCCCCACCAAGGGTCAGCGTAGGGGGCGGTCCAGACCAATCTTGGAGGAAGGCTTTGCACTTCGAGGGTGCGAAGCAAAGCCCGAAGTGACGGACAGCTAGTGCTAATCTGTCCAGTGCCGCTTGGCATGTTTGTGAGCTGTCACAGATAAGGGCAATATCATCAGCATACTCTAAGTCAAGAAGTCGTTCTCCTGGGAGCAGATCCACACCTTCTAAGTCGTGTCCTGTAAACGCGATTTCCATGACTTCGTCAACAGCGAAGTTAAAGAGGAAAGGTGACAGCGGGCATCCTTGTCTCACGCCGCTGGAGATATTAAAGGGCGACGACAACTTGCCGTAAGCCCTCACTCTGCCCGAGCTACGCGCACATAATGCTCGGATAATATTCACATATTTCTCAGGTACACCTTTCCTGAGTAGACAGTCCCAAAGTGCATGTCTATCCACCGATTCGAATGCACCTTTGATATCGAGGAACACGACAATGGTGGGCCACCAATATATGTGACGGTGCTCCAACAACTGACGCAAGGTGAAGATGTGGTCAATGCAGCCACGACCTCGACGAAATCCAGCTTGCTCTTCACGAATCTGGCTTTCACGAGTGTCAGTCAGTCGGTGAAGGATGACAGAGGCAAGCCAGTTGGAAGCGATGGCGATCAGACTGATTCCTCTATGGCTGCCGCATTCCGATCGTGAGCCTCCTTTGAAAATTGGGACTATGACGGAGCGGCTCCAATCGGATGGGACAGTTTCCTGCTCCCAAATTTTGACTAGTAACTCGTGTAAATCATCCACAAGAGCAGGTTTCCCGAATTTGAAGAGAGCTGGGGGAAGGTCATCAGGTCCCGCGGCTTTGTTTAACTTCAACAGTTCGATCTCACGTTCGAATATTAAGCGAGAGGGTGGATCCA